TTAAAAAGGGGGGGATTTTCCAGTTTTTTCGACAATAACTCATGAATGCTTTCACCAACTTGCAAGAAATTTTGTTGAATTGTTTATATCTATTGACGTGAGCTCCCTTTCGTTTTTTATAAATTTCAGATTTACCGTTTCCGAGTTTTGGTGTTTTATTCATTAAAAAGGGGGGGGATTTTCCAGTTTTTTCGACAATAACTCATGAATGCTTTCACCAACTTGCAAGAAATTTTGTTGAATTGTTTATATCTGTTGACATGAGCTCCCTTTCGATTTTTATGAATTTTAGATTTTACGTTTCCAAGCTACAGGGTATTATTCATTAAAAAAGGGGGATTTTCCAGTTTTCGGACAATAACTAAAAAAATGCTTTCAGCAGTTCTCATGAAACTTTGGTGAATTGTTTATATCTGTTGATGTAAGCTCCCTTTAGAATTTTATAAATTTTAGATTTTACATTTCTGAGTTATAGGGTTTTATTCATTAAAAAGGGGGGATTTTCCCGTTTTTCGACAATAACTCAAAAATGCTTTCATCAGTTCTCATGAAACTTTGGTGAATTATTTATAGCTATTGATGTAATCTCCCTATTGATTTTCATAAGTTTCAAATATGACATTGAGGAGAAATTGAACTTTATTTGTTTTCAGTCTGACAACAGATTTACTTAGTATTGCGCAACAGCACAGTGTATTGCACAACAGCAAGAAATCTTTAATTGAATATAAATTCAATTCATATAACCAATTTCAAGTTCTTTGGCTACATTTATTCGGAAACCTTTAATATGTCAAATATTTAATTACAATCCAAATTCAGACCGGTATCAAGCATGAACATTGTGTCCATTTTTGCCCCAACTGTTCAGGGTTGGACCTCTGCGGGCGTATCCAGCTGCGCTTAGCGAAGCAGTTTATTTATTGCGGGATCGTGACAATTTCCCTAAAGATTCAAGTAGTTGTTTTTCCTTGGCTCCATGTTTGTTTTTTTCAGCGCTCCTAATCAAGGTTAACACAGAAAAGTGATTCGGGTACATTCAAGTTATTAAGTGTTTAGGGTGCGCTTGATTAGTGTCTGGTATCTTTTCTGATGCTCATTAAACGTTTCACTCCCCGCCACCGGTTGTCCCCAATGAAAGTGTCGAAAAATGTAGTGCTCATTCTGCGAATAGTTTCTATTGCGGGTAGTGTGTGTTGTGTGATGTCATGCAAGGATAGACTTGCTCCCAGTCGGAAATAGAGTTGTATCATTTGTTGAAAGAAAACAACTGAACAAGTATAATCAAATAACATTCATTTTTCAAATGACTTTTTGACCAGCATAGTATCATTGTACTTTTGGCCAGTTTCTCTAAGGAAGAAATAGTAAAAATAATAAAAGGAGATGTGTGCTTTATGTCAATGAGTTGCAATCCAACAGTGCAAAAAACCAAAAGACATGCAGAGCAGGGGTGGATCCAGCCATTTTTAAAAGGGGAGGGCCTATGATAAAAAAAGGGTTCCAACTATATGTCCCCATTCAAATGCATTAATCGTCAAAAAAAAAGTGGGGGGTTTCAACCCCCGGACCCCCCACTGGATCCGCCACTGCAGAGGCCACACATTGCAAGACAGCATATGCAACTATACCAGTCATAATTACGTTCGATAACTCTGCATGTTACTGGTTTAATTAGGATTATGAAAAATTTACTGGTAACCCGTGTGATGAATGATTTAGAAAATTGAAAAATGTAGATATTTCACCTCGGGGTTTCGAGGTTTTTTTTTATTAATACAAAATAATACCATAAAATTATTTCTATAAGAATCGGACCATACTAATCTACATAAGTCTTGTCAAAACTTACATGATCTTACATTGTGATTAGGTGCCGTGTTTGTTTTCTTTGATCACGTTGATGACTTTATATCTCCTTAATCAAGCTATGTCCTTGTGTATTATTAGAGTGACAATAACGTGTCATATTTAATTGCAATATAAACAGTGAAATTAAATTGTGTTATTTGCATGGGCAAAATTAGTGTCGAACATCGTCCACTTTTGAAAATTGGTTGGTCGCCATTTTTTTTATGTAACTTCGAAATTTTATCAAAACAAAAAGCATGTATCTACTTTATCAAAAAGACAAAATATTTGATTCTATGCTGCTTTAAGGTAAGACAAAAACTGAAAACGCATGCATCCAACAGTTTATTTTTTATTTTCATCGTAAAAATATTACAATATATATTTTCACAAGTCGACCTACGCTGTCAACATGGTCAATGTAAACAATGCATGGTTGATGCATATAAATCTTTGTTTTGAGTGCGAGAGACTGTTTCTAATAAATTTATTAAATTAAAGGTGAAATAAGAAATTTCTAAAAACAATAAGACACACTTTTATAAATATTTCACATATACATTTCGTGTCTTTGTTTACTTCCGACATCGGCCGCCATTTTCAAAATATTGTTTACGAATGCCAAAATGTAAACTTTTCAATCAAATTTTGAAGCAAAAAGTTTGTTACCTAAACTGATTTGGGTTTCGATTTCATTTAAATGAATGTGTTGTCGATCTTTTTAGGGGTTAGAAGGATATTATAAACAAATAATAAGTTGAGAAAATTGATCATATAAGAAGGTCCCATTGCAATTTTATTGAGTTTTAACGAAGAAGTCAACGGAGGCTGTGTGGTTATGTCACCTCCATTTTCAAACTTAATTTGAAGCAAGAAATCATATTTCTGAACTGAAACTAAAAACATTTTTAATTGTAAAAATGAAAATACTATAAAACGCGGGGTTGGAAGGTAAAATACACAATGTAACAAAAAAGTTATGATCGTTTAATCTATGTAGCCCGTTCATTTTCATTGATAATCAATCGGCCATTAATGATATACAACTGAATTGTAAAAGTCACGTGATGACCGCGATAGTTGGATATGTTAAACTATAAATAAAAAACAAATCACAATATAAAATATACATGTATCAAGCTCTTTTATAAGTCTGAGTAAAAAAATAAAGAGGGATGATTACAGATCTGCTATCATTCAAATAAGTTGGTTATTTTTTTGTGATTGTCCTTTTGTGCATGTAGTTAATGAGCTGGTTCAGGTTTCATATTGGTTCTTTTTGTCATTTTTGCAGGGTATAATTTCTATTTAATAAGCAAACCATCCTCAACCAATCCACCCGCTAATTGCATATATCCCCCACTTTATGTCTTATGTTCTAAGATATTTCAGGAAATGATAGCTATTAACCAGTTGTGGTAGGAGTTAGTTGCAAATTGCATTTTCTGGTTTTACACAAAGTTTAATGAAGCTGTTTTTATAGATATACTTAACCTTTAAATTTTAAAATTTAATTACCTATTTTAATTGTATATTGACATGTTTTAGTAATAGTTATAATGATCATCTGGTGAATGGAGGCTTGGAAGAACTTGTTGCTGTACTTGAGAATTTTTAGACCATTTTACTCTATTCTTTATAATTGTTGCCCATTTAATTCTCTTTTCTTTACTTTTTAGCACATGCTGTTCTCTAATCTTTTATATTTAGCCCATTTTTTCTCTTTTCTTTTTTTTTTTTGTCCCATTTTTTTCTCTTTTTTTTTTTTTTTTTTTGACCCATTTTTTTTTTTTCTCTTTTCTTTCTTTTTTTTGACCCAGTTTTCTCTATTCTTAATTTTTTTGGTCCATTTTTCTGTATTCTTCATTTTGTTTGCCCAGTATTCTCTTTTTTTGTAATCCCCTCAAGATCCTTTAGAAATTGCATAATATTTTATTGGTATTTTCACTAAATTTCATACGAAGCTTCAAGATAACTGTCATTTTATTTTTATGACATGTAACTTCCTTGAAACATATTTTTATTTTATTCTGATTTAAAAAAAAAAATGTTTTTTTCTAAAGATGTTCTTTGTTTTTAAAATGTCTCACATAAGTCACAGTTAAACATGCATTATTCAGTCATGTGTTTCATATCAGCAGTGATGTTTGTGAAAAAAGATAAGGGGGTGTATGTCATTGAGACAGTATTTTCTGCTTCTCTTAGCACCAGTATTAAGGAGGAAGAGCAAAGATGGTCAGCTCAGAGTTGGAATAATGTGTCCAGGTAGGCTGACATGTCTTCCAGCAAAGTGTTACCTTGTGAACTAACATATTACAATTCCAGCTCAGTGTGTTGGTCTAGAACAAAGCAGGGTTCATATTTATATAGCACATTACAATTCCAGCTCAGCGCGTTGGTCTAGAACAAAGCAGGGTTCATATTTAATTAGCATCCTGAGCACAGGTTAAGATGCTTGTTTGGCATTGAATCAAACAAAAAACTGCAATTCATTATCTAAAAGAAGTAGATATGTATAATTGTGTTGTAATTTATTCGATTTGGTGGAGTATATATGTATTTACCTTAACAAAAACAAAAGAAGAAGTAAAAAGAAACTATAAAAGTAGACTGTACTTGTTTGAACTCATCCTCATTTGAATTTGTATAACTACATTGTAACACGTGATTGTCTTTAAAATATGCTTACAAAAATATTACCAAATTAAAAATACAAGTTAAAGTAATAACTCAACATTGACTCAATACATGTAATTCGGTTTCGAACTATCTTGATTATTGAAAACAAAATTGATAACATGTATTTATAGCATATAGCTTGAGAACAAAATTGATAACATGTATTTATAGCATATAGCTTGAAAACAAAATTGAAATTATGTATTTATAGCATATATCGTGAAAACAAAATTGATAACATGTATTTGTAAGAAGATGAATTAGTTGATCATCAGAAATAGAATGATTGATTGATTGATTGATTAATGTCCAGTGGCAAATATTTCTTGCATGTTTAGAACTATCAGAGATGATAAAGACATGTGTAAGTCTAGTACATTCTAGCAATTTGGGTACTCTAAACGGCTTATAGAAATTTAATCTTAAAAAAATAAGAAAAAATACTCACTGATTATATTTGTATTTTACAGGTGAGAGGTGTGAATGAGGGAGATCTGTTTTGTAATAAAGATTGTAAACTATATCAGGTAAGTTTTACTGATTACATACACCCATAAGGGGGATGGCCTGATTGGGTGTATCTTATGTACGTCAAGATATGGTTATTACAAAATGATAGATTCAATAATTTAGTAGGGGTCTTTTGGCAATTTAACCTGATATCATGGTAAAGCATGACAAATGCAGGATATCAAATTACATTTAGGCTTTCAGAAAAAAATGAAACAATTTATTTAAAGCTGTATTAGACTGAAAACAACTAGGCCACACCTAAAAATATTTTGGTTTGCCCAAACCCTACCCAAAGGTAAAGACAGTGGGTAGGTAGGTAGGCGTTTTCTTTTTTTTTTCGGCAAAGAGAAATTGAAGTGTCAGATTTTGTTTAGTCTTCATGCCTTTCTGATTAAAAAAAAACTTTTTCACATCAAGACAATAAAAGATTTTGAGTAGGCAGATATTTTCTGGGTAGGTAGGGTTAGGGCAAACAAACATATTCTTTTTTATGGCCCTACGATTGTTTCCACTATCATATCATATAATGCCCTTATGGGCGTATCTAATAAATTCATAAGGTTAAAGGTGTAAACAGTATATAATCGGGGCTGTCTGTGAATTGGATACTCTTTATATATATAAAGCTTGTTAATGTGTCTCTATAAAGACTTTTTAGAAAAATAAAGATACATTACACCAAATTCAATTGATGACCTTTTAATTTTAGGTTACAAATTTTTTGACATGCAATTTTTATTGTGTCATTAAAAAGGTCATAGGAGTCTTAAGAATTTTATTTGTACAGTACAAATTTCTTTGTACTTTATTAAAAAAGCATTTTATGCCCATATTAATGGGGGGGGGGGGGGGGGGGGGGGGTCAATGGCATACAAAAAATGGGAATATACAAAAGAGGGACGAAAGATACCATAGGGACAGTCAAACTCATAGATCGAAAAACAAACTGACAACGCCATGGCCAAAAATAAAATGACAAACAGACAAATAATAGTACAGATGACACGTACAACATAGAAAACTAAAGACTAAGCAACATGAACCCCACCAAAAACTGGGGGCGATCGCAGGTGCTCCGGAAGGGTAAGCTTACAATATACTGTACTGTGGATTAATTATTCGTTGGATACCAATTTTCATGGATACCGTGGGTACAGGTGAACCACGAATTTAACTGTTCAAAGAATGAAACATTTTCTATAATGTTATACATGTATATGCAGGCTCTGTCGAAACCATGAAATTAGATATCCAAGAAAAAAGTAAAATAACAAAACTACCGAACTCCAAGGAAAATTAAAAACGGAAGTCCCTTATCAAATGGCAAAATTAAAAGTTCACACATCAAACGAATGGAAAACAACTGTCATATTCCTGACTTGGTACAGGCATTTCCCTTTTTAGAAAATGGTGGATTAAACCTGGTTTTATAGCTAGCTAAACCTCTCACTTGTAAAATGCAAGTTCTCCTGAATCTACAAAAATTGGCCCCCACAAAAATAAAAGAATCCACATTATATATAATTATTCAAATATTTTCAAGGACTTCTTGCCTACTTTCTTATTGACTTTTAAAAAAAATAACTATTTATGAGCATCCTGTATTGAAAAAAACACTAAATATCAAATTGTATGTAAACAAATAAATGTTGCAAAGTGGATATAAGAATAAAATACAAAAAACAAATGTCCAATCTAAAGTCCTACTACCGAAGTTGAAATTAATTGCTTTTCAGAGCTATAAGTTCCATTATTGGGGACTGATATATTATCTTATCAATAGCTGTAAAAAGTCTGGGATGCTTGTGTAAACAAATTGCAACGTCCTGTATCCTATCTACTCTCCATTTCTTTTAGCGGAAATAACTACTAACGTCATTTTCCCGTTATAGCAGAAACGTAGACAGACATCCTGAGACTATGGTACTTATAATGTAGAAATGGAAAGATTTACAGATGATTTCGTAATAGTAGAAATAGATACTATAGAAAACAGTATTAACCGATGCAAAATCATATTTCCTTTTTTCTAAAAAATCGTCTACGTTATCATCATCTTGAACACAAATCATTGATAGATTATGACAGCTAATCCAGATTAATTCAAATTATTCAATTAAACAAATGACTTTTCTAAGTTATTTTCAAGCATCCATATAAACTGCCACAGAGAAAAAAGAACTACGTAATCCATGTAAATGAGGATGTTTATACATTATAGAATTGAGTTTTAATTTGAAGCTCGTTGATTTTGACATTTGCCAGGGATAGATTTTGGTTCTGAATGATTTGAAAACTTCTCTCCTTCATTGAGTTTACACCAAACCTTGAAACGTAATTTAATTGAAAGTCAAGATATTTGAAGTAACATTTGATTAGACTAGATAATTGTTACGAAAGATGGATGTTGATTCTTGTTTCATATTATATCAGGTTCTTACAGCATTAACTGTTGTTTTATGAATTAATAGATTTTCAAATCAAAATTTCTGCTAAATCTTAGCATATATATACTACTTTAGATTTACCTGAGTTTCATATGAGAAATTTTGGCTTCAACAATGAACTTTCATAGGGCAAGACAAAAAAGTATGTGTTGAGGATTTCTTCCTTTATAAAAGTAGGGTAGGGAAGTAGGATTTTTTATGTCTGCTAATTTTTTTACATTAAGTTTAATATATTGGGACAACCTGCAATTTTGTCACCATTCATTTCAAAAAGTGGCAATAAAACTGTATGGTAGGCATTATAAGGCTTTTATATAAAAAAAAATAGGCTAGCAATTTAACTGAAAAACTAGTACTTTTTATCATTTTATTTATGCCTTATATATAACTTGGGAAAGAACTCTCCTAATTTTTCATTACAAGAATAAGAAGATGTTGCATGATTGCCAGTGAGACAACTATCCAACAGATCAAATAACATATATGTATAAAGTATATATATGTCACCATAACATAGATGTATAAAGTATATATATGTCACCATAACATAGATGTATAAAGCATATATATGTCACCATAACATAGATGTATAAAGCATATATATGTCACCATAACATAGATGTATAAAGCATATATATGTCACCATAACATAGATGTATAAAGCATATATATGTCACCATAACATAGATGTATAAAGCATATATATGTCACCATAACATAGATGTATAAAGCATATATATGTAACCATAACATAGATGTATAAATCATATATATGTCACCATAAGACCTTCAACTTTAAGCAAAACCCATACTTTATATTCTTAATGAACTTTAAAATGGAATTCATTGAAGTTTCATTATCTGAATATATAGTATTGTGAGATGAATAATGTCAAAAATGATAAATAAGTTAGTTATTTATTGGTTATAATGTATTTAGAAAATATTGCATGTTTAGACTATATGATAATAGAATTACAAATGGAATAATCTTTTTGATGTTTATTTTAGTGATCAAATAATGTTCTATAAGTTACAATAAAATAATAGTGACTGTAGAGTAAATGTAATTGGTATACCTAGAGATATAAAAGTACATTTATTTGGTTCATATTTTCTTCATAAGTAAATTTAATTAGATGAGACATTTTTTATATGATTTAGAACTTTTCCAATTAGGTAATGGGAATTTGATATAGTTTCTGTCAACTTTTTATCTCCTTAGAATTACTTTCCATTCATAAAAGAGGCCTTTGAAGGAAAATTATTGCATAATCAGAATAATCGTTAAAAATTTGAAATATTGAAACTTATGCACAAATGTGATAAAATCAGACCTGCCAACTATCTCGGTTTATGGGGGATATCCCCCATGAGAGTTGTTGACCTGAATTTTGAAATTCTTTATCATATAAACAGAAACCTCAAACAGGCATTCAAATGACTAAGAAGGGTATTTAAGCAGATACATACTCATTCAAAAAATAAAGTAATAAATTAAGAAAACTTATGACAATATTAGAGGATCATAAGGTCCTCTTGCTCTTAAAATCCCCCTTGGAGATTTTGAAAAGTTGGCTGGTATGGATCATAAAATTAACATTGCACATTAAAGTTTTCCAATGAAATATAAAAATGGGAGCGTCGCTCGGATGTTTTGTAAGCACCAATGAAACAACAACCCAACAACATACTCAGACTAAAAATCAAAGTAGAGGTCACATGCAATTTTTGAAATCCTGTAGTTATTTGCTTGTATTTAGTTGTCCTGATTATAAGCCCCTTTGTCAGGCAATGAATGATACAATTTGTATGAAAACTGTACCTGATTTTATGCACTTCATTCATTACCCCACATATCGTATGTTCCAATAGATTTATGGCAGTCATCTATGAACATTAAAAGGTATCCATTGAGTACATACTGAAGGGGTCTAGGACTATATATGATTGCCTGAAGGTTTGAGTCATTTAGTCTATCGGTAGGTGAAGGCATTCCGGTAATATTCAAGATAAAGAATATCAATAAAAGCACTTATTCTTTGAAATCTTAATTATTTTCTAGTATTCCATTGGATTTTTGTAGTTTTTGTGTGTTTACCCAATATCATTCTTTTCCCCTGACATTTGTCTAAAGATTCCCTCTTTTTCAGTGACAGACCAAATTTCCCACCTTTCGTCCAAGTCGATCTTTTTTGAAAAAAAATCTACCTGTTGTAAAGTTGTTTTCTTCCTGAATTTTCATAAAAATTTGCCACTGGACATCAAACAAACAAAAATCAATCTAATGAATCAGATATTTAGATGTCTTGGTTTTTTTCAGGGTGAATGGGTTAAAAGACAGATTTCATTTTTGAATGTCAAATTTTGAGGATGAAGAAAGAATACAATTTTTAGGAAAAAAAATCATTTGGAATTGGAATTTACCAAAGTTGATAAATTCTAAAACGTGTATCAGGTGTTCAGAAAAAAAGAAGGAGCAAAAATAAGAGGTAGAGGGTACAAAGAATCATGAGAATACCAGATAGTTTAGTTTCTTAGTTTGTTAATCAGCTGTAGAAATGAAC